AAAAAAAAAAAACAAGGCAAACTTCAGCATGGCAGAGCCATTGAGGTGGGCCAACAACTCCGGCTGAGGTTTTCTGGAGAAGAAGTGCATAGAAAATAAAACGGCGACTTACCCCGATATGTTCTGCACTGCGACTGTGAGGATCAAAGGGTATTTACAATGCACCTATGATCGTATGACTCTTGGGCAGTGCTTAAGAAGAACATATCCTGAGGTGATTGAGCCGTACTTCCGGTACCTGTCGAACGCCCACCTTGGCGGCAATAAAGTCAATATGGACTGCTGTCCCTATGTGGAGAAAGTCCGTTATGGTGATTGTACCGATGGCAGACGGTCGACGATCATTGGAAGCTTTGTTGGCCCGGATGCACGCTGCGTAAAGGGCAATGAACTAAAGTATAGGACGACACCCATTGGCGATGTGTGTGTGAATACGAAGTGTGAGGAGGAGGGCAAGCTGAGTCTGCAGTTTCAAGGTGATGAGGAGTGGTACCAGTGCGAGGAGGGGGAGCATGTTAAATCGAACAGTACTAACTGGTCTGGAACTATTACGTGTCCCAAGTACGCCGATGTGTGCACCAGGTACCCCAACATCACCAATAAGGAGCCCTTGCCCGAGGTCACCGACAAGGACAACGAGCCTGCTCCTGAAAACATAACGTGGCCCATCACAAAATCTGAAGACACGTCCCCTCAGCCCATACCGCCGACAGTTCCAAATGCAGAGAGCGAAAAGAATTCATCTGAAAAAAGGGATGGACCCCATAATTCTGAAGAAGATGGCCTGAATGGTTCCACCACCCACATCGACAGCGATACAAAGAATAACTTGGCTACCAATGGTAAAGGTCCAGCAGCACATGTGCCTAACAACAGTGACACGATTACTGTGAACATTGGTATTGGCGATGGCACTGTGACTCCTGCTGGGCATGCACCCCTTCTGCTCCTCATCTTTGCCAGCGCCGTCGCCGTGGTATTCTCTCTGTAAACAGTACCTGTGGGAATAAGGGTTACATCGTGGTTTCCTCACATGGTAAACCTCCTCAACTCCCCAACTCCCTCTGCAGATCTGAACGGCGCATATGCAACCAACACAACAAAGAAATCAGGTGCATCCGTCAACATATTGGCTCTGTTTCGGTGCACCCTATCATGGGTATTCGGTCTGTGTGTTAGACCTATTACTTTTTGGGCATCATCAATAAGAGTTTTTTTTTTTTACAATATATACTGCTTCCGCTTTATCCATTGCATATGGGCCCTTCACTCTCTCTGTGTCTTTCTTTGTGTGTGTGGATGTCGGTGCTAGTTGGGCCGTGTGCTGGGCTGCATGCATTGCTCAACAGTTAACGTGTAACGCTTGTTTTTAACCTTTTCCTTCTTTGCCCTTTCTTTCCTTTCTTTCTGCACACAGTCTTTGCAAGCTTTTCAGCGAAAACACACAGTTATGAATACTCCGTGCGCGCGCGCCGTGGTGAGCCGCTATTCTCCGCACCCTCGGGTGCTCACGCTCCTGCTGCTGCTGCTGCTGTGCTGTACGGCCGGGTGCCTTGCCGCAGGTCACCACCGCTGCATGCACGACCAGATGGTCCAGAGAAGCGAGCAGATGGCGGTTGTGCGGGAGATACCCCGCAAGGGGCAGGGCGCCGTGCAGGCATACACCGCCAGTGCTGCTATCACCGAAGAGGAAAAGGATAAGCTAAACTGGACGCCAATCCGCATCAAGGCATTTACGAGGGACCTGGAAGACCCAAAAAAGTATTGCACAGCCGCTGGGGAAGTAATTTGGAATAACGGTTTCCAGAGGATAGTCTGTACTTACGGTGGCATTTTGACGGTGAGGAAGAAAAGGATCATCCTGGAGCAAGCTCTCCCCGCGGCAATTAAAATGCACGCTGAGCGTATTTCTGTGGTGCGGGAGACGGGCATTGTTAAGGTGCCAAGGGAAGACATAGGGCACTGCAGTGGTTTCCATATCCCTGAGGAGCACCACACAATTGGGCTTCAGGATGCTGATATGCATCTCTACGTCGCCGCTTTGCAGTGCAGGAGCGAGAGTGCGTGGGCGATAGCGTGCGGCCATTTGAAGACGAATGGCCGTCCCTTTATTGCCGCCGTCAACCTGGATCCCAGACGTGTGGAGCCCACGAGTTCGTACGTTCGCGTGGTAGCGCACGAAATTGGGCATGCTCTTGGTTTTGACTCTGCTATGTTTCCTCGCCTGGGTATGATGGGAACCTTTTTTGGCGTGCGGGGAAGGGAATTTGTGTGGATGATAAACACTTCTAAGGCGAAGGAGGTGGCGCGAAATTATTTCAACTGCCCCAATGCCTCTGGACTGGAAATGGAGAGCACAGGTTGGGGATCTGCTTCACACTTTTCAATTCGCGTCGCGAAGGGCGACATGATGGGGCCTGGATACAGTCCTCTGGTCTACAGCGAACTGTCACTCGCAGTGTTCGATAGCATGCCATTTTACAAAGCTAATTTCAGTATGGCCGAACCACTGGTGTGGGGTAAGAACGCCGGCTGCGACTTTCTGGAGAAGAAGTGCCTGGAAAATGGTGTGAGCCCTAACCCCGAGTTCTTCTGCAACAAGTTTCGTTCAACGAACATAGACTTCTGCACACCCGATCGTATGGGTCTTGGGTATTGCACACTGAAAGCTCATTACAGGATACTTCCCAAGCATTTCCAGTACTTCAAAAAACTTTTTTGGGGTGGCGATTTAAGCGCGTTGGACTACTGTCCTTATGTTGAGCCATACGGTTATACCAGGTGCGCTACAAGCTTGTACCTACAATCCCGTGGAAGCTTTATTGGCGAAAACGCACGTTGTGTAAAAGGCGTCGAGCTAAATTTTTCGGGACAGCCTATTGGTGATGTGTGCGTGAATACCAAGTGCGACAATGGCACTCTGAGCGTGCAGTTTCTGGGTGATGGTGATGATGAGTGGCACGTATGTAAGGAGAAGGAGGAAATCATTCCGAATAAGGCAAACTGGTCAGGAAAGATTATCTGCCCCAGGTACGACGCGGTGTGCACCAAGATCCCCGACATCACTATTCCTCTGAAAGAGATACCTTACCAGGATGGCGACGACAAACCTGCTCCTGGAAACATTACGTGGAACATGACTGAAACTCCCAGTTCCGATCCTTTGCCCCATCCAGCGCCAGAACCAACCGTGGAAACTGTTGGGGCACCACATGTTGAGAAAGAACCAAGTTCGTCTTATCCTAATGTACCCGCTGACTCATCGGGACCCACAGATACGACCACACCGGTGCAGAGAGATGTTTTTGAGAAGGAAAGGATTGACTCTCCGACATCCACTGCTCATTCTGAAACGATGCTCGACCAAAACGAAAATCACCATGAGAGGCTGGATGGCAGTCAACATGGATCTGGCTCAGACGTTCTTACTCCTCAGACAAACTCAGATGGGAACACGGTTGAGCGAAACAGTGATGCAAGAGACAACGGGGTAGCCAACGGTGGTGGCGTACGCTCTGTGGCCAGCCATGGTGATCTGCTGACGCTGAACATTGGTGTTGGCGATGGCAGTGTGACTCCTGCTGGGCATGCACCCCTTTTGCTTCTCGCCCTCGCCAGCGTTGTCGCTGTGGTGGTGCCTTTGTGAGCAACACCTGCAAGTTAGTGCTACATCGCGGCTTCTCCACGTGGCACAACTCTCCAACACTCTTCAACTCCCTCTGCAGATCTGAACGACGCATATGCAACTAACACAACAAGGAAATCAGGTGCATCTGTCAACATATTGGATCCTTTTCGGTGCACCCTACCATGCATATTCGGTGTGTGCGTGTGTTGGACCTTTTACTTTTTGGGCATCATCAATAAGAGTTTTTTTTCAATATATACTGCTTCGGCTTTGTTTGTTTTGCTTGTTGGTCCTTCACTCTTTGTGTGTCTTTTTGTGTGCGTGTGTTGGGCCTATTACTTTTTGGGCATCATCAATAAGAGTTTTTTCAATATATACTGCTTCGGCTTTGTTTGTTTTGCTTGTTGGTCCTTCACTCTTTGTGTGTCCTTTTGTGTGCGTGTGTTGGGCCTATTACTTTTGGGGGGTCATCAATAAAGGGGTTTTCAATATCAATATACTGTTTCGACTGAGATTCAGTAGCTTCTTTTGGTTGGAAAAAAAAATATGGATATGTGTGTGTGGATGTCGGTGCTAGTTGGGCCGTATGCTGGATTCTGTGTTCTACTTGTTAGTTGGCGTGTCTCAAATGTTTTTACCTTATTCTCTCTTTTCCTTTTTCCCCTTTTCATTCTGCACACAGTCTTTGCAAGCTTTTCAGCGAAAACACACAGTTAGCACACTCCGTGCGCGCGCGCCGTGGTGTGCCGGTATTCCACCCCGCTGTATGGGCGACCGGATCATGAAGCGTATGAATTTTCGATTACTACAACTTGCAGCAATATCCTCCACCACATGGGGACCGAAGCGTGACGTCCTCCGAGCCTTCTACCTGACGCTAGTTCAAGCCCAGACGCTCTACGGCTTTGAGATCTGGTATTGGGATGCGGCTCCCACATCACGCAAACTCCTAGATGCAGGACAAAACAAAGCTTGCCGAACCATAGCGGGTATCCCCTATGGATGTCGCTCCGCCGACGCACTACGTGAAGCCCGTCTTCTCCCATTAGAGATGACGGCCATGATTCGGAGCCTCAAATATTTAATGCGATGCCAAACGCGAGGTGGATCTCTCAAAGAAAGTGCAGAATAAGTCTATCACGAAACCCATCCAGTACGAGAATTCTATGAACGCATCATGAAAATCTATCCAACACTTGTTATAGAGCCACGCGAGCCCCCTTTACTGACACCAACTCTACGGTTCGGTAAACGCGCTCGCTTCTTCACATCGCTGGAAAATGTCTCAGCTGATGACCCAGAAGAACAGAAACGAGAAGCATCCGAGCGTTGGATAGCCCGTCACTTCCGCCGTAAAGGCACAGAACCGCCGCCGCGTACCCATTATGAAATCTGGACTGATGGCTCCGTCTTCCTCGGAGTAAAATCTGGAGCAGCAGCAATGATATACAAAGATGGTGAACTGCTCTGTACCACACATAGGGGCGCTGATCCCCTGGCTTGCAGCTACACAGCCGAATCCGTAGCGCTATACGAAGGTTTGTTTACGGAGACTCCTCAAAATAATTCCCGCAAATAACCAAACGCCCTGCAGGGTCTCCATTTTCACGGACTCACTCTCTCTTCTCACGGCACTGGAAACAGGCCCACTGACTGTAACACACCCAATACTACGGCTCCTGTGGAACCTAATACTTCAAGTGCAACGTCGCAAGGCCCGCATACGATTACAATTTATATTTGGTCACTGCGGTGTAGTAAAGAATGAAAAATGCGACACAGAAGCCAAAAAAGCTGCAGAACTACCACAAAGAACTGATACTTGGATCACAGATATAATAGCCTACGCCAAACGCATACTTAAGGGTGAGGATGCGCCCCCTCCCTCCCATAGATCAAAAATCACGGGATCCTGGGACCCCACCAAAGATAATCCGGAACTTACTATAGAAGAAGAAACAGCCCTAGCACGTTTTCGCACAGGTGCTTCGCATCGCTATGGCTGGTTGCTGCGAAAGATACAAACCCATATTCCTCCTGGTTGTCGATGGTGTAATCCCCAAAAAGTCAGTACGCCGACACCCGTTATTCCACCTAGCCAGAAAAGACNTAATACTGGATCCTCTATAGTATTAACAGGTGGCGGGACCACTGCTGTGATATCAAGCAATACACAGGCGAAATGGACTGCCGCGTTCTCTGGTTTGAATCCCTCACTCACTACCGTCAATGCACCCTCGAAGTTTATTGTGGGGTGTAACCGACTCAACGACAAAGAGGTCACCTATGATGATGTGTTCCCGACTACTGTTACAAAGTTCAGCTGTGGGTCGTGCAACAATGACGCGGCTTGTTACATGCCCAACACAGAGTCGGTGAGCAGCTCTTGCACGTGCAATTGCAAGGCCAACGGATATGGGCCCTCGTGCATGCCGTTCAATCTCTCAGCTGCTCTTCATCCCCCACCGCCGCCAACCCCGCCGCCACCGCCGCCACCGCCACCACCCCCACCACTACCATCACCACCAACGATTGGTGAGTGCATGAGCAACACGGAATATCCGGAGGTGACGCAGACGATAGGAAGTGGGCTGTCGTGGCTGTGCTTCCGCAACGTGACATTCAGCGGGTCACTTATGCGTCTAACGGTGGATATCACTGCAATGAAGGGTGATGTTGCATTCATAATATTTGACAGATGTCAGTGGTTGAACGGCGCCGTGCTATTGCTGAATGCGGGAAATGGTGGCTCTACAGTAGGGGCGCTAAATATTGATATTATTCACAACACATTTGAGGATGCGTTGCTGAGCCCAGAGGGTGTGTTCCCTCCCCAGACGAACATCACAATAAAAGGGAATCACTTCCACATAACCAAAATACTCAATCATCCTTCTATTACTCTTTCAAATCCCACATGTCTCGTAGTGAATCAACTGAATGTAAGTAGTCACTCTGCTGTCACACTTGTTGACAATATATTTGAGGTTCTTGCACCCTCAGGACGTGCCGTTTACGTGATAAAGGATGCCCTTACGGTGATGTCAAACTCCCTATTCACTATGGTAAACAATACATTCACTCTGGATAATGAAGATGGGACGGCATTCTACCTACAAGGGACGGTTACATCATATTCGCTGCGTGTACTAGATAACTCTGCGGTTGTTATCCAAGGCAACACTGTGACAAAGACACTGTTGGACTTTGCTATGCTTACTTGGAAGATGGACGTAGAATCTCTGTCGGCCTTTGTGTTAAAGAATAACGATGTAATGTTGGGGTCCAGTTTGCTACATGTAGAGCAGGGCATCACAGTTGTTGGTGATTCATGGCTTCAGCTCGAAGGGAATCGTGCAAACGGAGATAGCAAGAATGGAGTTGTGTACATTTCCAACACAGTGAAGCTTGAAGACTCTACGGTGGCAGTGGGAAGGAACCTTGTTGTGTCTACTACAGGAAACCCCAATATTTTGGGTGGTCTCATGTCATCACAACCGGATGTGGTACAATCGACAATGCTGCTGCACTGCAACAAGGTAAACGATGTCGAGGTAACAAGCTACGAGATTCCGCCAGCGTACGACCCCACGATTGTGAGCTGCAGTAATTTATGCAGCCCCATGACGTCATGCTTTCCAGCATACACTGCATCAACACATGAATCAGCTGAAGGGTGTGTATGTGAGTGTGCAGAGGGAGGCCATGGCGAGATGTGTCTTCCGGTTGATACCCCAAACGATGAAGTGGATTCCTGCATGCGTGACATCACTGTGACGTGGGAGGTGATCGAGGGCTTTGGAAAGTCGGAGGTGTGCTACGTGGGTGTGACCTTCACCACGGACGTCGTTGTAGACGTGAGTGCAATGTCGGGTAACGTGCGCAACGTGACGTTCATGAACTGCACGATGGTTGGCAGCGCAAGCCTGTACGTTGTGGGTTGGGAGTCCAACCCGCCTGCTGGTCAGCGTGTGGAGGTGTGGATCAGTGGGCTTGTTTCGCGCTCTGGTGGCGGGGTGCTGCTGGCGAACAGGTTCCCGCAAGGTTCGCGTGTCACCGTGGTGGACTCCTTGCTGGTCGCTGAGACGGCTGTTACGTACCGCAGCGGCTTCGACCTTGGGGGCGCGTCGGCGTGCCTTGTGTTGTACAATGTGAATCTAGCTGGTAGTGTGCTGACAGTTGCGCGCACGCAGGTGGTTGCGGTGTTCGGTGACGCGCGCGGTGTGCTTGTGGCCGGTGGCCTGGCGCTGTCGTCCGGTGGTGCGTTGTACATGGAGCAGCTGTTGGTGCAGACGGCGCTGGGGTTGTGCGTGTCGATGGAGGGCGACGTGACGGCAGCCGGAGGCTCGGTGCTCGCGTTTGTCGACAGTGACTTCTTGCTATGCAAGTACGCGGTGTCTGTGCGTGGAACTTTTGATGTGGCCGGCTCTGTTGTGGCGTTTGCGCGGAGCGACTTTGCGTCGACGCAGGACTACGCCGTTGCGTTTAATTCAACGCTGAGTTTCACTGAGGGATCGATGCTGCTGATGAAAGCTAACACGCACGACAACAGTGAGAAGGAGATGATGTACGCTGCTGGTACGGTGACGGCTAGCGGGAGCACACTGAGCTTTGCACG